AAAAAAAAAAAAAAAACTGGAGTAACTAGCATGTAGTATATTCACTGTGTGTTAGCTCTGATGGTTGTGGTGGTGACAGTGGTGGCTGGGTGTGACTACTGGAAACATGCAATATATATACTATTGTGAAGCATTCTGTTTTATAGGATCTCCTGTATCGAAGGTCTAGGTCACTAGTGGATTATGAAAATGCTAATAAAGCACTGGATAAAGCAAGAGCAAAAAATAAAGATGTTCTACAGGCCGAAACTTCCCAACAATTATGTTGTCAGAAATTTGAAAAAATCTCTGAGTCTGCAAAACAAGGTACTATTATGTTAACTTTCAATCACAAGGTATGCTTTATGACTGTTATGTAAATTAAATAATCCTAATTTCTTGTTCACAGAACTTATAGATTTTAAGACAAGAAGAGTTGCTGCATTCAGAAAAAATTTAGTGGAACTGGCAGAGTTAGAACTGAAGCATGCAAAGGTAGAGTTGTAATAAAGATGTAATAATTTAAGTTACTTGTAATTTAGAAATTAATCAGTTATGACATTGATAATTCTTTAATCTTAATTCTCATAGGGATACTGTGACAACTATTCCTGAATTGGAATTACATTTTCCAAGATTATTTCACTGCTTCAAAACAGTTGGTCTGGGTTTTTTGTTTTGTTTTGTTTTTTTGAGACAAGAGTCTCGTGCTCTTGCCCAGGCTGGAGTGCAGTGGCATGATCTCAGCTCACTGCAACCTCTGCTTCCCGGGTTCAAGCGATTCTCCTGCCTCAGCCTCCCGAGTAGCTGGGATTACAGGTATGTGCCACCACACCCGGCTAATTTTTGTATTTTTAGTAGAGACATGGTTTCACCATGTTGGCCAGGCTGATCTCGAAATCCCGACCTCAAATGATCCTCCTGCTTCAGCCTCCCAAAGTGCTGGGATTACAGACATGAGCCACTGTACCCAGCTAGTCTGGGGGTTTTTTGTTTTGTTTTGTTTTGAGACAGAGTCTTGCCCTGTTACCTAGACTGGAGTGCAGTGTCATGATCTCGGCTCACTGCAACCTCTGCTTCCCAGGTTGAAGCAACTCTCCTGCCTCAGCCTCCCGAGTAGCTAGCCACCACACCTGGCTAATTTTTGTATTTTTAGTAGAGACAGGGTTTTCACCATGTTAGCCAGACTGGTCTCGAACTCCTGACATCAGGTGATACCTGCCTCGGCCTCCCATAGTGCTGAGATTACAGGCATCAGCCACCACACCCAGCCTGGTTTTTTAAAATTGTATTTATTTAATTATGTTTTAGAGCTGGAATGTTGCTGTGTTGTCCAGGATAGCATCAAACTCCTGGGCTCAGTTAATCCTCCTGCCTCAGCCTCCCGAGTAGCTGGGATTACAGGTGTATGCCACCATGCCTGGCCCTCTGGTCTTTTTTACATTAGTTGTTTACTTTGAATTAAGCCTCTTCTTGTAGTTAATAGAAAGTTTGGCCCAAACCTTAGAGTAATTTTAAGAATAGAGAATCTTAGAATTGAGAGGGATTTTAAAGATTATTTAATCAAGGTAAGAATAATATCTATATCATCTCCAATGGTCAGCTCTGAAAGAATCTAATACCTAATACGGAAACCAGTATCATTTTTTGACTAGTTTTTTTTTTAAAAAGTCTTAATACAAACATTTAAAAATTAGGCCGGGTGCAGTGGCTCACACCTGTAATCCCAACACTTTGGGAGGCCAAGATGGGTGGATCATCTGAGGTCAGGTGTTCAAGACCAGCCTGGCCAACATGGTGAAACCTCGTCTCTACTAAAAATATAAAAATTAGCTGGGCGTGGTGGCAGGCGCCTGTAATCCCAGCTACTCGGGAGCTGAGGCAGAATTGCTTAAACCCAGGAGGTGGAGGCTGCAGTGAGCCAAGATTGCGCCACTGCACTTCAGCCTGGATGCCAAAAAAAAATTTATTTAACATTTGCTATTTTTGTTTTCTGATTTCTTAGTCTAATAACCCTGTCAAAATGTTTTGATAAGTTTGGCATTGTTACTCTTACGGAGCCTGAGCTGGTTTCTAATACTCTTTTTTTTTTTTTTTTTTTTTTTTTTTTTAAAGAGAGGCTGGGCATAGAGTGGCTCATGCCTGTAATCCCAGCACTTTAGGTCAGGAGTTCGAGACCACTAGCTAAGATGGTGAAACCCTGTCTCTACTAAAAATACAAAAATCAGCTGGGCATGGTGGTGCACGCCTGTAATCCCAGCTTCTCCGGAGGCTGAGGCGAGATGATCGCTTGAACCCAAGAGGCAGAGGTTGCCGTGAGCCGAGATCATGCCACTGCACTCCAGCCTGGGCAACAGAATGAGATTCTGTGTCCAAAAATAAAAACAAAAAGTTATGAACTACCAGAAGTTTTGCTATACATCAAGGGTTGGCAAACTACAGCCCATCTTCTTTTGTAAAGTCTGTGAGCCAGGAATGGTGTTCCCATTTTTAAATGGTTGGGATTTTTTTGTTTTTTGTTTTGAGACGGAATCTCCCTCTGTCGCCCAGGCTGGAGGGCAGTGGCGCCATCTCGGCTCATTGGAAGCTCCGCCTGCCGAGTTCACACCATTCTCCTGCCTCAGCCTCTCGAGTAGCTGGAACTACAGGCGCCCGCCACCACGCCCAGCTAATTTTTTGTATTTTTAGTAGAGACGGGGTTTCACTGTGTTAGTCAGGACGGTCTTGATCTCCTGATCTTGTGATCCGCCCGTCTCGGCCTCTCAAAGTGCTGGGATTATAGGCTTGAGCCACCGCGCCCGGCCTGGTTTTTGTTTTTAAGGTAGAATAATATGTCGGCCGGGCGACGTGGCTCATGCCTGTAATCCCAACACTTTGGGAGGCCAAGGCGGGCGGATCACAAGATCAGGAGATCGAGACCGTCCTGACTAACACAGTGAAACCCCGTCTCTACTAAAGAAACAAAAAATTAGCCGGGCGTAGTGGCGGGCCCCTGTAGTCCCAGCTACTCGGGAGGCTGAGGCAGGAGAATGGCGTGAACCCGGAAGGCGGAGCTTGCAGTGAGCCGAGATGGCGCCACTGCACTCCAGCCTGGGCGACAGAACGACTCCGTCTCAAAATAATAATAATATGTCATGACATGTATTAATTATGAAATTCAGATTTAAGTATCTATAAATAAAATTTTATCGGAACGCAGCCAAGCTCATTCATTTATGCTTTGTGGCTGCTTTTACGTAGTAGCATACTGGAATTATTGAAACAGCCTAAAATACTTATTATTTAGCCTTTTACACAAAAAGTTTGCTGAGTCCTGCTATAGACTGATGTCAGTGTCCAGTTTCCAGATTCTGCACTTTTTTTTTTTATTATTTGATATGGAATTTCGCTCATGTTGCCCCAGACTGGAGTGCAGTGGCGTGATGTCGGCTCACTGCAACCTCTGCCTCCTGGGTTCAAGCGATTCTCCTCCCTCAGCCTCCCAAGTAGCTGGGACACAGGTGCACACCACCATGCCCAGCTAATTTTCGTATTTTTAGTAGAGATAGGGTTTCACCATGTTGGCCAGGCTGGTCTCAAACTGCTGAACTCAGGTGATCCGCCTACCTCGGCCTCCCAAAGTGTTGGAATTGCAGGCATGAACCACCGCGCCTGGCCAGATTCTATACTTTTTCAAGTTCTTTCTGACCTGAGTTCTCTGTATTTAGATTTCTGATAACTGTTCTATTAACAGTACTACTCAATCAGAGGTGATTTTGCCCCCCAGAGGACATTTTGCAATAGCTGAAGACATTTGTGGTTATCACAACTGGGTGTTCTATGGTTACTACCAGTACATGGTGGGCCAAGGATGCTGTTAAACATCCTACAGTGAAGGCTGGGTGCCGTGGCTCACCCCTGTAATCCCAGCACTTTGGGAGGCCAAGGCAGGCAGATCACCTGAGGTCAGGAGTTCAAGACCAACCTGGCCAACATAGCGTAACCCTGTCTCTACTAAAAAATACAAAAAATTAGCCAGTGTAGTGGCACACACTTGTAATCTCAGCTACTCAAGAGGCTGAGGCAGGACGATCGATTGAACCCAGGAGGCAGAGGTTGCAGTGAGCCAAGATCATGCCACTGCACTCTAGTCTGGGTGACAGAGCAAGACTCCATATCAAAACAAAGAAAGGCTGATGTGGTGGCTCATGCCTGTAATCCCAGCACTTTGGGAGGCTGAGGCAGGTGGATTACCTGAGTTCAGGAGTTCAAAACCAGCCTGGCCAACATGGCAAAACTCCGTCTCTACTAAAAATACAAAAATTAGCGGAGCATAGTGGCAGATGCCTGTAATCCCAGCTACTGGGGAGGCTGAGGCAGAATTACTTGAACCCGGGAGGCAGAGGTTGCAGTGAGCTGAGATGGTGCCACTGCACTCCAGCCTGGGCAACAGAGTAATACTCCATCTCAGGAAAAAAAAAGAGAAAAAGAAATTTACTGAAGAATCTGGTATGTAGAAAGTATTATTGTATGTGAAACAAATTATGTAATTTTATGTGTTTAACCCTTTATGTGTATATAATGAATGGCTGTTTTTAAATTTCTAATGTATCGATAAAGTCATATGACTTCTAACACTATATTTTATGTGGTTTCTAACAGTGTATTTTCAGTAGGAGTCTTCTAGATTGTTTGGACTAAAATTTATAATTTATTTTTTATCCCTTTTTTAGGGTAACCTACAGTTGCTGCAGAACTGCCTGGCAGTGTTAAATGGAGACACATAAGCCACACTCCGCCTTCCTGTTAAAAAGGGCTGCCTTCCTTCAAATGTTATTTTTGTTTTCTTAATGATGTTAAGCATTTATGCTCACTGGAAACCAACAGAAAACAGCTGAAAAAGTGCATCTACTCCTCTTTTTCTGAGAAACATGGAGCAGCACACACCTAGGCGATGCCAGTCTGTGTGCTGTGATGCTGCACTGTGTTCTTCACGACAGTGGTCCATCATCGTGCACTTGTCATACTCAGAAGTCCAAAGTTCATTCTTCTTTAAAGTAGCCTCTATAACTCTGTTTATTTTATAAATAGTATTCCTTATGGCTGCCAATCTTATTTACCTTTAAATAATTTCTGAAGTTTAACCTTTTCAGAATGCATTGTTCAAACAAGATGAAGATTGCCTTTTTTGAATTTTTTTTAATTTTGTTTTTAAAAGCATTATATACCACCTTAGTTCATTCATGTATCCTGGTAAAGCATCTTAATCAGACTTATTTTTAATTACTGAATATTTCTTAGAAGTTTTGGGACAGATTTTATGTAATCTTTATAAGTATGATTTCTGAAGAAAAGCAAATGCATTAGTATGTTTGCCTTAAACTTGTAGACTAAACCAATTATTGTAAAATAAACAGCGATAACAGTGATAGTTTTTAACTCTCTGGTAATTGTATCACTCTGGAAAATGTGGAGTAGCTGTAATAAATCTACTCCTATATAATGCTTTACAGTGCAGGTCTTAGTTTTTCTTTTTTCTCGTTTCTTTTGAAATGGCATCTCGAACAAAGTCCACCAATCCCTTTACAAAAGAATGAACTGCTCCTCTGTGTGTACTTCATAGAAGGTGGAATCGGACAGAGGCAGGTTAGCGACAGTTATTCCTGAAATACAGGAGCAAAGTACAGACTGTTGTGGTTTCCAGGATTCCACGCCTAGCTCAGCCAATTAAGCATGAGACATATACCAGTGAGCCACTTAGTAGTTATGCGAGTGGATAGATTGGTATGTAGAGGGAAAGAGGTCTGCTGTAAAGAACAACACTTGTCTGTCTGTGGGGAAAGAAAAGTAGAATACTTGAGATGAAAGTTGGCATACAAATAGGATACTGTCGCCAGTAGTTATATTACAAACACTGTCGGCCTTTCTAATGTGAATGAACATTACTGTCATTCCTAGTTTAAAGTTAGGTTGCGTGGTTGGATTTTTCCACTATCTTTTTCTAATTTTTCTACCATTTGGAGACCCATAGGGATTTGGGCCTGTCACCCCTTGGATGGGTTCCTAGTTTGTTTACATTTTCCTGAACCCTCCTGAGCGCCCATTCTTGGTCTAGTCCCCGGTCGTGATGGTTCCACACTTCCTCAGCAGCATGTTCTCTTGTCTCATTCATGAGCTGATCAGTGTTTCGTCTCTTTAACTGACGTGTTCCCCAGTGCTGTTCGAACTGTTGATTTTCCGTTGCTGGCTGAGTGCGTTTTGTCCTTCACATAACCTTCACTGGTAAAAATAAGCCCATGTGATGTCCACCAGTGGATGAAGGCGGGACCAAGAGCCCTAGCTTCTGGATCCAGGTCTAGCCCCTTCATCTGCTGCTCTGTGGCCCAGGGCAGGTTTGCTTGACCTCTGCCTCAGTTTTCTACTCTAAAGGACATATTGACCTACCTCACAGGGGTGTTGTGAGGATTAATAAACGTTGGTACTGTGCTTTGGAAATGTGAAAACGCTGTGTAAATGTTAAGAAATACTAAGTATAGGGCCAAAAGCTATACAGTGTTTCACTTACCCATTTGCTATTCTGTACCAAGGTGATCTTTTCTGGGGAAGGAAGTAGAGTGGAAGGTGCATCCCTCGGCCCCTGGTTTACATTGTTAGAGTGCTTATTGTGGGAATGCACTCTAAAACGTGGGCGTAGAATGAAAGCAGCAGTCCAGTGGTCCTGCCTTTTATGTTGTTCTGAGCAGCGTGATGAAATCTGTTGCTGTCCTACTTGGAACATTGAGTCACGCCTCTGTCCAGTGTGTCCATGCTGTATACACTGTCCACCCATCAACCACTAAATAGCTGTCTTGGTTGTCAACATAACAGATCACAAGAAGATTGAGGTTGGGTGCGGTGGCTTACCCCTGTAATCCCAGCACTTTGGGGGTCCAAAGTGGGAAGATTGCTTGAGCCCAGGAGTTCAAGACCAGCCTGGGCAACTAAGCGAGATCCTATCGCTAAAAAAATTTTAAAACAACTTTTTGGCTGCCAGCAGTGGCTCACGCCTATAATCCCAGCACTTTGGGAGGCCAAGGGGGGCGGATCACGAGGTCGGGAGATCAAGACCATCCTGGGTAACAGGGTGAAACCCGGTCTCTACTAAAAATAACAAAAAATTAGCCGGGCTTGGTGGCGGGCGCCTGTAGTCCCAGTTACTCGGGAGGCTGAGGCGGGAGAATCACTTGAACCCGGGAGGCGGAGGTTGCAGTGAGCTGAGATCGTGCTACCGCACTCCAGCCTGGTGACAGAGCGAGACTCCGTCTCAAAAATATGTGTGTGTGTGTGTGTGTGTGTATTACATTAGAAGAAAAGCAAACAAGTCTAGCGAGTTGGTTGTGGTCCTAGGACTTGTAACAGGACACGTAAACTGGAGCTGAGGCTGCCATCGTGGGGTGACCTTTGGGGATTCTATGCGCTGATGCTGAGCAAGCAAAGAGAAGCAAGAGTTTGGAGCAAACAGAGAGAAGCAGGGAGGCTTTCCGTGACCCCCCTGTCTAACATGTTAAGCCCTCAACCGCAGCCTTTTCTCTCCACGCCCTCTTCTCTATCCCGTGGTCCACGTTTTTCCCCCTTCTGCTGCATATTACTTGTCTGCTCACTGTCCGTCTCCCCGTTCCATTTCTCTATTGCTTCCCGAAAAGACCACCCTCAAAACGTAAGGGCTTTGCAACAACAATGATCATGCATTTCTATCCCCAAATCCACAGTTTTGATGTTCTGCTCCCTGATGCCTAGGGTCTCGGCTGGGGACTGAAACTGTTTCCATGTATTTCTCTCCACAAAGCCTCGGGCTTCCTCACCACACGGCAGCCTGCGTAGTCAGCCTTCTTCCATGACGGCGCAAACCTCCCAGACGATTCCCGGAGACCCAGATGCCTTTGGAGCTGTAAGGATGCCTCCCACCCAGCCTCGGGAGCCCCTGGACATCGCTTCTGCCAAATGCCGTTGTGCATAAGGCCAAACCAGATCCAAGGAGAGGGGAATTGGACTCTACTTCTCAATGGGAGAAGTAGTAAAGAAGAAAGTTCTCGGGTTGCTGTCCAAAAAAATCGGCCGGGCGCGGTCGCTCTGGGAGGCCGAAGCGAGCGGATCACCTGAGGTCAGGAGTTCAAGACCAGCCTGGTCTGCTAAAATAAAAAAATTAGCCGGGCATGATGGCGGGTGCCTGTAATCCCAGCTACTCGGGAGGCTGAGACGGGAGAATCGCTTGAACCCGGGGAGATCGCGCCACTGCACTCCAGCCTGGGCGGCTGAGCGAGATTCCGTCTCAAAAAAAAATCGAGGACGGCTCACCATCTGAACATAAAATGAAGGTTGAACAGATTACCTAGAATATCTCAGATCGGGTGAATTGACTATAAAACATAACAGTGGCCGGGCATGGTGGTTCACGCCTGTAATCCCAACACTTCGAGAGGCTGAGAGTGGGCAAATCACCTGAGGTCGGGAGTTCGAGACCAGCCTACCAACATGGAGAAACCCCGTCTCTACCAAAAATACGAAATTAGCCGGGCGTGGTGGCGCATGCCTGTAATCCCAGCTACTCGGGAGGCTGAGGCAGGAGAATGGCTTGAACCCGGGAGGCGGAGGTTGCGGTGAGATGAAATCGCGCCATTGCACTCCAGCCTGGACAACAAGAGCGAAACTCCGTCTCAAACAACAACAACAACAATAACAATAATAAAAATAATAAAATAATAATAATAACAGTGTATTTACAGATTTTTCCAAGTGTTTAAACACGGTCTGTTGTCCAGCGTTATACACTTAACTCGACCAGTGCACGCACGGTTTGCATAGTGGACAACTTTGTACTTTGTCCTGATTTTTTTTCCTTCAAAGTAAGAGGCTTGATTCTCCCCCGACTCCACCCGGCCCCTCTCCTTTAGGTTCTCCTGTTAGTTGCAGCCATTTCTGACAGGCCTACCAGGGAAGCTGCTTGGGGAAATCTTAGTGCTTAATGTTTAACCGGGGGGAGGAGGGGAACCTCATAATAGTTGTGTCCTGTGGGGAAGACTTCTGTTGGGCTGGCGAGAAGAGAAGGGGCCGAAACTTGCCTTTTGCTGAGAGGAAGGTGAGCCCAAACCCGAGCCCCGCCCGGCCCAGACGCTAGGTCCCTCGGGGACTGGGCGGTGGGGCCGCAAGCTCTTTCTCTCTCTCCCCCCCCCCTCTTTCTCTCTCCCTCTCTCCTCCTCTCTCCCCCTCTTCTCTTCTCTTTCTCTCTCTCTCTTTCCCCCTCTTCTTCTTCTCGCTCTCTCCCTCTCGCCCTCTTCTTCTCTCTCTCTCTCTCACTGTCTCTCTCTCTCTCTCTCACTGTCTCTCTCTCTCTCTCTCTGTGTCTGTCTCTCTCTCTGTGTCTCGGTGTCTCTCTCTCGTCCTCTCAGGGCTCCCTTTCAGGTCCCAGACTCCCGGCCGCGCCCCCACTTGCGCCCACCCAGCCCCGAGACACCCAGGCCTGTCCCTCAGTAGGTCCCCGGGTAGGCAGCTGGAGAGACCGGAGCGTCCGGGACGTCCCCCAGCGGGGGCGTGGCGTATGCAGATGAGCACGGCGCGCGGAGGCTGCCGGTCACGTTCGGTCTGGAACCCCACGTCCCGTGCGGATTTCCAAGTGCTGCCGGTGTGACTTTCCCTAGCAGCGAGGGTGGAGTAAGGGGACTGGAGAGGGTGAGGCGGCTGGGGCCGCATGAGAGAAGTGACCGTGTGTTAGAGAGTGGTGGGCACGAGAGTGTGAGAGAAAGCGGGAATATACATCTCATACTTACCTGGCAGGGGAGATACCATGATCACGAAGGTGGTTTTCCCAGGGCGAGGCTTATCCATTGCACTCCGGATGTGCTGACTCCTGCGATTTCCCCAAATGTGGGAAACTCGACTGCATAATTTGTGGTAGTGGGGGACTGCGTTCGCGCTTTCCCCTCGTATTCAAAAGGTCGAAAAACAGGCGGGGTCAGATGGGGTTTTTTTTTTTTGTTTTTTTTTTTTTGCCCGAAGGACTGCTGCTGTTTCTCTTTCCCCCCGCCGGGGAAGAAGCCAAACACAGCGGGTTAGCTGAAAACGTTGCGATTTCTTGCTTCTTCCAGGCCGAAGCCGCGTTTTTCCTGCAAGTTTGGGGTGTGTAGAGGAAAACGCCGGAACAGCTTTCTCCGGCGTGGACTAGGCCTGTGAGGAAAATATCCCAGGATCTGTTAATCGCTAGCAGAAACGACAGAGTATATGTATGGGCAATTAATCCTGGTCCAGGCGAGTATCCGGCTCAGAGGTTTAGGAAGGACCCGTCAGGGTTGACTTCCCCGCGTCCCCACCTAGGGGGAGATCGACTCCGCGGGAGCTGCTGATCCCACCCAGGCAGGTGCTGGGCTTGTAGGCAGCAGGATCTTCTGGAAGGACTAGAACTGACTCATCCCACTCCCAAAGAGAAGCAGACGTGTCATGCCTGACAGTGAAGGCCGGACTACAAGGCTCTCAAGAACAGTTTGGGTCCTCGCTAATGGCCTTGGGAGACCACGCAAGACTGGTCAGAAAAGCCATGTAGAAAGGCTTTTCATGGGCCGGGCGCGGTGACTCGCCTCTAAACCCAGCACTTTGAGAGGCCGAGACGAGCGGATCACTTGACGCCAGGAGTTGGAGACCAACCTGGGCAACATGGTGAAAATACAAAAAATTAGCCGGGCGTCGTGGCTCGTGCCTGTAATTCCAGCTGCTCGAGAGGCCGAGGCAGGAGAATTGCTTAAACCCGGGAGGCGGAGGTTGCACTGAGCCGAGATGGCGCCACTGCACTCCAGCCTGGGCGACGAGCAAGACTCCGTCCAAAAAAAAAAAAAAAAAAAAAGAAGGAAGGAAGGAAAGAAGGGAGGGAGGGAGGGAGGGAGGCTTTTCATGAATACTTTTAGAGTCTCCTGACAGCCTCTGTACATGTTCCCAGGAGGAAACAAGACACTCTGATGTTCAGGGCCACCATCCTGACATGGACCTTTCCTTCAATTATAATATTGCCATTTTGCTATCTTAAGACCCTTATGTCCAAGCCTTCTCAGACCTCAGCACCCCCGGGATATGTGTAATAGAAGGGTAAATACAGGCTAGGCGCCGTGGCTCACGCCTTGTAATCCCAGCACTTTGGGAGGCCCAGGTGGGCAGATCACCTGAGGTC